GTATCAAACCTCCCCTTCAGTGTGAAATCACCGTCAAACTTTGCATTCAAACGGACACAAAGGCCGTTGAAGTTAGGAGGTTCATTAAACCATTCCAATTCTTCTTCCATATCCTCAAACATACTATTTTCTCTCCTAACACTTCCTCTGTATAAAACTCTAACACAACAATCCATCTGCAAAAGCATTTCAAGAAACTTCATCAAATCGTCGAAATCGTCGTACGTAATGTCCATAGTAATATTAATACCTATTCTAACTATAACTATACTAACTAATCTGATATTAACATCTATACAAAGCTAACTACAACAACTAATTAGACTAAATCCAATGTATAACTAGACTCACTAAATGTATTAACTAAACTACCTAACTTTACTATCTATACTAACTTACTATATTACCTAAATTAACTAAATTAACTAACTTTACTAACTATACTTTACTAATTATACTTACTTTATTTATTTTACTAACTTACTATACTAACAATGTCGATTCAATCAACAAATACACTAGGGGAGTACCTCGCAGCAGCGGCGCTCGTCCTCACGGCGGTGGCGTGCTAGACCAGGCCGGGAAATGCAGGTGGAGGCCTCGGCGGGTGTGGTGGGCAGCCGCCGTGCGTGGCCGGAGGGGGTGGCGTACCGGCGTGCGGGCGCGGCGGCCGGCGTGCTCGGCGGCGGGCTAGCGTAGGCGGACGCGGGCGCAGCGGCCAGGCGCAGGCGGGCGCGAGCAGGCAGGCTTGCTGCTCGGGCAGGCAGGACTGGCCGCGGGGCTTTTATTCGGCTCTGTCGCGCCAAGATCGGTGGCGCGGCAGGCCCTGCCACGTCAACCCCCTGCTGCGCCACCATGCATGCGCGCCTTGGCAATAGGCACGGCCAAAAGTGTTAGTTTTGAAGAAAAAAAAACAATGTTAGATTTAAAATTAGTTTACAAAAAGTGTTAAAATTAAAAAAAATCCATATCGTCCTTCTTTTATACGTTTTTTTTTCTGAATTCTAATATATAATGCACTTTGGTTTGTATGCAATGAACGATGCAAACGGCCAAAAGTTTCTTTTCCAGAAAATAAGAAGGCTCACATTTCACAAGTCACATAGTATGTGATAATCTCTCTGTATCAACAATAAAAAAATTACTTAAGAGTGCCAAAGTTTTCAGATATTAGTGGTTGCTCAAAAATCAACATTGTCTCATCAACTGTTGGTGTTGGCGGAGGCAGCTCAGATTTCACTGCTTCGTCGCTGGATGAGGACTGTGAACCTGAGCGTTGAGGTTTTGGTACTGTTTACAAGGTAGTGATGAACAGTTGCTGCAACGGTGTCATTCATATGCCAAATGTTTTGAAGCCCCCAAATTTAGGGGCTCAAGCCCCCTACCACCGTTGATAGCATGGAGCCCTCCTAGAGTCCATCCAAGAATTTTTGTCATGGCTTCTTTGAGGAGAAGAAGGTAGAGGTTGAAGATGGCATCACCTCCCTGAACTTTCATCCTAGATCAAAGGTTGAAGATGACCTCATCTCCCTGGACTTTCATCCTTCGCCAGGTAGAGTTTGACTTCTTTGAAACAAAATGCGCTTTTATCTTCGTAGATAAACGGCAGACATACTTGTAAGACAACTTCTATTTAAATCACAGAGTCAAACATTGTAGCTGGACTGCTGGACTGGTGGGTTGATCCTTAAAATTTTAACATCGGTAAAAATTGCACAACCGTATAATAGGAGTGGAAAAAATGAAGACAAAAATAAATTTAAGCTAGGAAAAAAATTTATTAGTGATGGATAGATATGTTTATTGGTGCAATGAATGCAAGTGGATGAATAACGAGATAACTAATACAACAAGACAAATAAATAAAAAAGACTAGCTGTTTACGCGGAGTATAGGAAACTTATCAGGGCCTAGTATATTTGTATTCTTTCCAAAAAAAATTCCGGAAAAGAAAGCGTCCCTGATTTTTGGTTTTCGCTTTCAACTGTAGGTAGCTGGAAATGGAAATCTTCGTGGCCTGCCTCCTACGACGTCGACTACATGGCCCCGGTCCCATGTATGGCTCTGTATGTATGGAGTATCAGGCATGCAATACGTGCCCTTTTGTCCATTTGTCGCATTGCGAATTCGAGCGGAAAATGATAGTACGTGACCCCTCAAATGAAAACCTGGGCGTCCTTATTTTCTTGTCGGCTAGCACGAGAAAACGGAAACAGCCTCATAAGTCACGAGTTCACTCGACGAGGTCCCCGCGGCGCCTTTTTTTTTCCTCTCCTTTTGCACTCCATTTGGGAGAATTCTTTTACTCTTTTTTTCAAACAAAAAAGGGAAAATATTAAGAGTACAAATGATCTCCAATACGGGCCGTGACTAAAAGCACACTCGCTATGTTGGGCCGTGATTAGGAATATCGAGCATTGCCGTTTCGGCCCATGGCGCTGCGTTCCGTCCGTTGGGCCCGTCAGTCGTCCGTCGTGACGTCCACTAGTTTGCTTCGTGAGGCAACATGGCCTCACGACGACAAAAGATCTCGCGTCGCATGCAGAGCTGTTCACGCGTGCGTAACCAACCTTTGGATGATGAATGAATTGAAATCGAATGAACGACCTTGCAGAACAGCCAGGTTTTCTTGTCTGTCAACGAATGCCGAGTGGCAGCAAAGTGATGATGTGCAGACAGCCTAGGTTGGTCTCACGGGATTTTCTCGAGGAGCGAAAGGAGAAGCCAAAAGCCCAAAAGCGCAAGGGGGACGGACGGTCGGACGAGGAAGGAGTTGGCCGCCAACCTCAAGCTCCGGTGAATTGGCACCTGAAATCTTCCACGCATGCAATACAGCGTTTCGAATCAAATCAACCAAACCATCGAGTGACAGGGACTCGTCCGCCAGTCGGTGCAATCTGTAGACCGAGCTAGTGGGTGTATCACTGATTCACTGACTCTGACTGCGATGAGGGAGCACAGCGGCCCAGGTGCCCCTGCAGCCTGCCGGTTTGGCTGCCAAACTGACCGGACCCGGACCTGCAGCAAGAGGAGGAAGCAGATAAAGCAGCCACCCTAACCTTGTCCATGCCCGCCCAATCATTCAGTCGGTGGCCACCGGTACTTCACACCAACCACCGCTACACTGTACAAACACGAGTACCTACGTATATCAATATGTTGTGGTGTTCCAGTGTCGGGCGACGGCTTCGACTTGTTTTGAGCTTCATCATCCTACGCCTCACACGCTCCGTCGTTTAGCAAGCGCCGAGAAGCAATCCGGCGGATTCGGCGCCATGGCCACAAGCCTGCAACCACGGTCTCCCACGCAAAATCCCCGAGGTCGCACGTGGTGGCGGGTCCAGGTCCTCGGAGAACATGCTCCGACACATCACGCCAACGAGCGGTGCAAACACACAGCGCGTGACACGGCCGCCGGCGACGAGTGGCCCCTGCTGGCGGTCTTCGATGACATGGCGCGCGCGAGCTCGAGAGCTTTCAACCCCCGCACCGTGCGCAGCTCAGCGAGCCTCTTGGGAGTGAGCAGCTGTCCTCCATGCAGAGCTTCCTCAGGCCGTGCTACTTGCAACACAATGAGAGTGCCAGGGCTCGCTCGGCGGTCGCCGTCGACCTCGCCGCGGCGCTCGCTCCGTGGTCGCCGCCAACCAGCGTGACCGTCATGGCTGGCTGCTGCTTGCCTGCGCTAATACATTTTTGCCCAGCCCGTGGAAACCGCTTAACCCGCGGGTTTGAAACCGCTGAAACTGATGTCTCGATGGTTTGGGTCGGTTTTTGCTCAAAGACCGGATAAACCGGACCATGTACAGGGTGACTTCACGGAATACACATGTGTCCTTGTTTCATCTCAAATTCGAATAGAAAAAATGGCAATGCCATCTTTGAACTGAAAAACAGGGTGTCCTCTTTGTCACCTGGCACAAGCGGTGGACGAAGCCACGGGTCTGTTCGGATGCCATTATATAAGCCGACTTATCAGTCATGGTACAATATTTTTCTCTCCCAACAAATCAGCCGTACAAATCAGCACAAGCGGCTTATAGACCGGCCAAACAAATCATCAGTTCAATAGGTGAGGTGCCGGGCGTGCAAATTGCTCCATCACGCGGCTTTTCGCTCCATCTAATAAGCCTACAAACGGCATACTTATTCAATTCCAAATGTACGTCGTTTCGCTTTTATCATAAAATCAGACTTTCGGACAAAAACTCATATAGAAAAATAAATTAGCATGTACGTAAAACATCATTTTGTTCCATTAAATCCACTTTGAAATATGTTTTGGTAGCTTTATTTTAGTAATTGTAGTTTGTAGATGTCAATATTTTTAGTCTAACGGTACAACTTAAGCATGATTACGTCTATCAGTCTATGCTCTACAACGAGATCGATGTAACATCCAAGGCGGCGAAGGACGTCACATTCCCATGGTCAGTCCACGGGTCACTCAAGGCAAGTATTTTTATTTGAAAACTAGCCCCGGTGGGAAACCAGTCTGTTCCTTTGATTTTGAAATCAAAGGGATTGAGAACGATTGAGAGGATTAAATCCCCTGCAAGTCAAAATTCCCTCAACCCCACTCAATCGCTTCCAATTCCTTTGATTCCCTTTGATTTCTAGCACAAACGAATAAGGCCTGAGCTGTCGCTCGGATCTAAAACAGTGTTGGACTTTGTTTTGTCACTACCTTAGATATATACTCTCTCTATTCTAAATTATAAGTTGTTTTAGTTTTTTTTCTAGATATACATAGTTTTTTATATACACTTAAATACATATTATGTCTAGATATAAAATAAAATAAAAATATATTTGTAAAAAAATTAAAACATCTAATAATTTATAACACAAGCGAACCAAATATACCTGACAGCAATACACCAGCACAGCATATTGGCCCATCAAGGCTGGGACTACCTTACTAGGCTGCCGTATACAACGAGGCTGCTCGATACCCTCAAAGGCTTGGGCCGTAATTACAGAAGAGAACATGGGCCGTCCGGTCACTCGTGGGTCTGGCGGAGAAGCTCCATGGCGCGGCGCAAGGCGCCACTGAACCGGTGGACATCGATCGTCACGTTCTGGCCCACCAGGTACGCCGCCCGCAGCGCCATCCACCCCTCCCTTCTCACCGCCGCGGGGTCCCTCAGCACGCGGTGGTCGCGCGGGTACTGCCTCGCCAGCGTGCTCTCCTCCACGGAGATGCCGTAGTGCACGTACCTGAGCCCCGCGTCGCGCGCGGGCGCGCCGAACTCCTCCGTGGCCATCGCGTCCAGCCCGCCCAGCGGCACCACCTGCACCACCACGGCCCCCGAAGGGGAACATCAGGTTCGCCAGCCCGGCGCCGTGCACGCCCACCAGCACGTCGCACGAGCTCACCACCCGCGCGAACGACGGCAGGTCCGCGTGCCGCGCCGGCTCGCCCACCACCACCTCGAACCCGAGCGCGGCGGCGGCCCGCGCGATGGCGCCGGCGTTGGTGAACGCCCGGGTCGACTTCCGGGAGATGAGGAGCAGCCTGGGGCGGACGGCGGAGGAACGGTTGCCGTCGCTGAGACGGATGGCCGTGTCCCGAGTCAGGCCGTAGGATCGTCGGGCGAGGAAGGTGAAGTCGGCCATGGAGTACTCCACGGCGGTCCTCGCGGCGTCCACGCTCATCTCCTTGTGGAACTCGAGGCCTAGGATCACGTGGGGGTAGCAGAGCACGCCCCTGCTTCCCCTGCCCATGTCCACTACTGCGTGCCGGGAGAATCCAACGAGCAGAGGCCGGAACTTGTCGAGCCACCATGGCTGGGCGTTGCTGACGAGGAGGTGCACGTCGCCGCCGAACCGGCGCGTGGTGATGAACAGCGGGACGAGCACGTCCGTCAGGTCGTGGAACATGTTCCCCGCGTAGCCGCCGACAGAGAATACGACCGCCGGGGCGGTGTGGATGGCCGTGCATCGGGGAGCAGCGCCGGCGGTGTGATGCGACCGAATTTTTTACTTTTTGGCTCTTTTTTCGAAAGTTTCTCTCAAATAGACCCCTGGTGGAAAGAATTTCAGAAATTAACCCTTGGCTCGGCGCCGAGTGAGTGGCGCCGAGCTCGGCGCCACGGTGGCCCGGCGCCGAGCTCTGCCACGGGCAAGCGGCCTGCAAGGGGCTCGGCGCCAGGCGGATGGCGCCGAGCTCGGCGCGCCACTCACTCCGCGCCGAAAGCTACTCGTGATTAACCCCGCCCCACCTTCTTCCCCTGGCGTTCTTCCTCTTCTTTCTCCTCGGGTTTTTCTCGCCACTTCATCCTACCTCACGAATCGACATATTGGACCTTGAAAACCTTGATTTGATCCGTAGATCTTGAGAGCAAGGTATCCTCGCGCCCTCCTTCCTTTTTTTTTCGCATCGATTCGGTATATATTAGTCGGATTTTTGAACCTAAGAATCGTCATCACTTAGGGTTTCATTGTATCCCTCAATATATGTATTATACAAGCTGTAGGTTCATTTCAAAGGCGTGAAAAATGCTAGCAAACCAAGCCGCATGTAGTTATGTTATGGGTTTTATTGTTGTGGATGAAATAAGAAACCCTAGGTTTAGGGTATAATGTTAATCGCTTTTGGTTCTTATAACGAAATTGATTGTATTGTAGTTATGGTTCTCACCGATATTTTGTTGTGATGTTTTTATTTATGTTTGCTAAATTACATCCTATTTGTTAGATGCAAGAAATGTTTTCGGGAGGAGTTTTGGCGCAAGGGGGTCGTCCTCATGAATTATACCCCGACGCGTCTAACAAAGATGCCCCTATTCTGACCTTCCTGTCCCCTAATGTGATTGTGGTTTCGGCCCATGTTTTTCAATCGAAACATCCGGACCTGACATGCTGTTGCTTCTACACATGTAGTCGGTTTAATGTAAGAAATTATTTGTACTATCCTTTTTCTTTATTTGTTTAAGTATGGTACTAATATATTATTGGAATCTCGTTGTGTAGGACCATGAGAGGTGCTTTTTCCTTCAGTGGATCGATGGTGCGAGAAAAGTTTGATCCTAGGTACCTCTTTTTTTGACGATTGGTTTAGAGGGAGACATCCACGTGATCACTTCAAGCGGTGGGTTCCACCCCCCTAACCCTCCGGCAATGACGGCTAAGGAGAAGCACCTAGCCGCCGTTTAGGCGACTCGAGGAACCTCTCCCGCATGCGATTGCGGAGATCGAGTGTGATAAACCCCGAGAATACGTTGGAGTTTGTGTGTCCAAACAAGCATGAAGTAAGTGCAAAGTGTATGTGTTAAAATCTTGAGCTATATGTGTTTATGTACTTATGTCTCATTATTTAGGTGTATTTAATGGCGAAGTGTCGTTTCAAGGAGTGGTTGTATGGTCCTAAGAACCAATGGCCGGAAGAACCGCGGAGGGTTAAGGAAAAGAAGAAAGAACGTGTAATCTACAAAGCACCTCTGTCATGTGCGAATGTGGTGTAAAATCCAACTATGGCCTAATCCTTGAGCTTGGAATAGGTCATTATTATGCCATATGATTGAGTATGATGAGGTTTGTTATAATTACAGTAAACATGAAATCGTATTTTGTTTGTTTTCCTAATATATATATGATATAAAATTTATTTTGAACAGAGCACTAGGAAATGCAGCTGGAAATGTTATGATGGTCAAGCTAAGTTCTTGGATGAATCAAGAAGAAGAGGCAAGTAATTGCACGGAAGAGGGATATGGACTGACTACGTCAACCTATTCGTTAAACATCACAAAGAAAAGATGTGTGAGTTTGCTAGATAAAGGCGGTATTTGTAACCCGATCGATGTTGGGCTTAACAAATGGGGATTGGAGAGGCGAACGGCGTTAGAGGAGGAGGAGAGGGCAAGGAATGAGGCAAGGGAGGAGACAAGAGCAGATGCAGGTCTTGGACGAGCATGTTGCTACATTATGTGCCAGTGAGTGCTTGAAAACCTTTTTCCGTTGCCTGGTTTTAAATGTAATATTATCGAGTTGCTAAATGATTGCATTTTATACATCAAGGGATTGGTTGCGCTGGGGAACATCTTTGCGCAGAGGTGGCTCGTGCAAGATATGAGGAGAAGAAGTTAGATGCCCATAGATCATGAGTGGTCGCACCGTTCAATCATCGATTGTCTTTGTGTGATGATGGAGACGAGGATGAGGACGACATCTTTGGCGGACCGAGTGAGCTCATTGCTTTAGCAGAGAGCGGGCATACAAAGCAGGAGGTCGACGACGACACAGTGCAGATCGAAAGCGAGCTCATCTCTCTAGCAGAGGCGGGCATTCAGGCGCAGGAGGTTGACGACGACACTGGCAGAGTGAGCGAGCTCATCGCCCTAGCAGAGGCAGGCTTACAGGTAGAGGAGGATGACGACGCGTTCTTCACTCGAGCCGAATGCTGCCGCAGAGACGAAGCGGAGGCCGCTTACTACAAGCTTTACAGTGCGGTGAGAGCAACCTTAGATTGAGCCTAGCCGCAAAGAACAGAGGTTGTAGTAGAGGACTGGTACTCGGATGATGAGTTGCTTACTCAAGATGCGTTTTGATTAAGGATTTGGAGGTGCATTTGCCCCTTTGTCTCATCATCGGTCGACACTTAGTTATACTATTAATATGTTGTGTAATATGACATAGTATCAATGGTCTTAATATTCCGCTTAATAATACAGACTTATTTCTATTTGAACACGTTTTTGCAAAAAAGCAGATTAACGACATACGATATTATAGAAATCAACACACGAAACACATTAAATGGCATGTGACTACAGGTACCAAACCTGGGTACATAGTTTTCTTTGACTAAACCTAACATGCCTTAGATAATTAAACCATGCCTTCGGTAATTAAACCTAACATGCCTTAGATAATTAAACATGGGATTCTCCACAAGAAAAACATAAACTCATCCTAGTAGTAACGGCGCTCCACATATGAATGCAATACCCTGTAAGGCCTCTTTCGTATCACTGCAAAAGCCTGCAACCACCTCTTCAAAGCAGGGAGGTCATTGAACACCCTCCCCTCCTCAATTACCATGTTAGGACCGGCCGCAGGAGCTTCTAGGAGCTCATCATCACGTCCTTCTGCAAACGCCAGATCAGAATGAGCAAGATCACTAAACTCATGAACTCTAGGATCACGGCGGTCGGGAAAGATACGTCTCATCATCTCAACATCACTCTCCGTCAGCTCTCCAACAGCACGATCATCATCAGAATCAAGAGCCCTAGCCATCTCATATGGCTCCGAATCATTCATAATTTCAACATCATTGGAGCCACGAAATCCATCGAAAAGTGCACTTGCAGCGACAACATGGGGCACATCGATATTCTCGGGGAATGTCTCCTGCAACGCGTCATTACGTAAATGAGGAAAGAATGAAAAAATACCATGATTACGATGAGCTCCCAAAACCATGCGGTTAAGACACTTACTCGGATGATTACGTGTCAAAGGGATCTCATAAGGAGGATCTCGCCACGAAAACATGAGTATGACAACCATCTCCAAATAACGCATTGAGGTGATTGAGCATCGGGAACCATAGGCTTAATCGCACATGCGCAGTAAGGTTCCGGAACAGGAGGGTCAATGTGTGCTGCGGATGATCCATTGCTGGGGTAAACCCATGAGGATTGGATCAACTAACACCCGACGAACAACCACGCCCAAACATTGCAAATTTGGCTCTTCATAGCCGATCTCACATAGTTGTCCCAATCGATCCGCACAACCAATTGAGATCATTCGCTCAAGATGTTCGGAGGACAACCTAGGTGCGATACACCATCAATCTGCAATGTCATCATCTCCAAAGCAATGCAGCTCCTCCCGAGCCCTTGCAACCATATCACTAAATGAAGGTCTATCATTGAATAGCACAGGCACGCTTTGCATGTCAAGAAACTCAACATATCCATAACGATCGCTTTCAACCGTGCCTCCATGATATATGGTCACTAGGTTGTCCATCTATTTAAAAAGCGAACTTGAAACACATGTCCTTTAGTCCAAATTATACGATAAATAGTACCTAACAAGTACTTTCTAACTACAAACTAAGTAATCATGATCATAACTACGTATATATTTATAGTGTACTCACTAAATAGCAAGATCATTTGTAGTTAACTACAAATATAACTACATATCTAAGTACCTATCTAACTATATCTATTTATCAATGTATCTATGTTTCTATCTATATAACTAAATCAACTAACAAAGTCATCACAATATAACTAGTCAATAACATACACCAACTGAATAGGTACATTGCATATTCATATTTTATACCTTTAAAGATCGACAGACGATGGGCGTGGGTCAAGGCGAATATCCGGGATGCGGTGGCGCGCCAACAGCTGAGGTGGGTGGCGTGTGGTCACGGGTGGCGGCGCTCATGCGGCTGCGAGACCGGCTCGACGGCCGCGGGAGGCGGGGCGAGGCAAGGACATCGGTGGACGTCGACAAGGCGGGGCGAGGCCGAGGCCGGCGGTGGAGACAAAGGCTACGACGACGGTGGAGGCGCGCGCGGCGGCAGGCCAGCTGCAGCCCAACTAACGCCAACAACATGCGAGGGCACGGCGTGGCAGCAGTGCTTGGGCTCGAAGCGAGGAGCGAGAAAGGCAATGGAGGCTGGCTCGGCCGCCGAGCAGCAGCCTTTCGGACGGGCCAGGCGCGCAGGCGCGGGCTCGGGCGAGGGGAGGCGGGAGGCTGAGGCTGAGCTCGGCGGCCGAGCAGCAAGCGGCTCGGACAAGCCCGGCGCGGCGCTGGCGCGGTGCTGGCGGCGCTGGCATGTGAAAGTGGCGTGGCAAGGTTGTGCACATGTGGCGCGGCAGGTGTATGTGGCATGAGGCGGCAGGCGGGCGGCAATGTGTGTGGGCTTGTGGCAATGGCGCAGCTGGCGAAATGGCGCCGGCTGGAGGTGTTGGCGGCGTGATGCGCAGCGGGCGCGGGCGACGTCGCGGCGTGGCGGGCGAAGCTGGCGGCGGGGGGGGCTGGCTAGGGCAACTAGAGGAGGAAGAAGGCCGGCCGGGTAGATATTTAGGCGAACTTCGGCGCCAGAGTGAGTGGCGCCGAGCTTGGCGCCATCCGCTCTGGCGCCGAGCCCCTAGCAGGCCGGCTTTGCCCGTGGCCAGGAGCTCGGCGCCAGTCACCGTGGCGCCGAGCTCGGCGCCACTCACTCTGGCGCCGAGCCAAGGGTCCATTTCTGGAATTCTTTCCGCCAGGGGTCTATTTGAGAGAAACTTTCGAAAAAAGGGCCAAAAAGTAAAAAATTCGCGTGATGCGACGACGCCACCGTCACCTCAGTGACGCGGGCGAGCGCGTGCCGGTCGTTCTTCCTGCCGTGTGGCTTCATCTTCCATGATTGACGCCTCGCCCACGGATGGCGGACGACGATGGTGGCGTTGGGGAGGACGCGGACGTCGCCTTTCAGCTCGCACACGTCGGATCTCGAGCTCGAAAAGTCGCACAGCACGGGCCCTTTGTTTCTACCTGCAACATTATAGACAAGAGCTGAGTCTTCTGGCCGACATTGTCCAAGCTTCTTTCTGTTTGATCCTCTATCTCGAGTGAGTGAGGTTCCAGGTCAGATTGCTTGAACATATGCGTTAATGAATCTATACTGTCAACTTCTCTGAATGCTTTTTTTTTTTTTTGTCTGAGTGACTGAGTATGACATATGCTTTGACATACCGTAACGATGAGAGCCTAATCTTTCCTCTCCCCACATTACTGAAGTAGCCGGACCTACTGAAAACAACAAGCTCTCACTGCGAACACAACGATAAGAGAAGTCAAATAAGCATCACTAAGGTTAAGAGTCAGGGTTAGTGCAAGAACTTACATGTTTGCAGAGGAACCGCGGAATGCCGGAACATTGTGGCAAGTGACATCGGCACAAGAATGCATCCTGCAAGAAGCACCAATCCAAACCTGACAGTAAAACTTTTCTTCTCGCATGCCATCTTGTAATGCTAAAACCTTCATCTAATGACCGACACACAGAAATAGTAAGGCCATCCTTTGAGTAGTTGCCATGCTTTATATTCGTTTCCATCTGACATTAGGAACATTCTGTTGTTCCTCTGTTAGAGTGTTAGTTCAGACATCTGGACTAAAACAAGTGGTGTTTGTTGAGAGATTCTTCAGGCTCCAACAGCAGAATAGGAAGCACAGCTACTGAATGGGTTCTCGTGCACAGTTAGATGAGCAAACTCCACGGAGAAAAGAAACAAAAGCAAACTATGTGTCTCGCTCACCTTTTGGTTTGGTAGGAATGTGGTTAGTGTGCACTGCTATTGAAAGTCTGCATGCTTGTTACAGTAGAAAGCAAAATATTGCAGAAGACGCTCTCAAACGAGGCAGAGTTTTGATTACTTATCAGAGGGTATCCGCAGATAAAAGTAGGATACAAAATTTCAAATTAAACTATTAAATCACTGGAGAACATGCTTTTTTCAAACTCAAACTAAATCTAGTATAGGGAACACAGGATGGTGCACAGCCAAATCAGAACAAAATAACAATAAATCTGAATGGGTACCTGTTCAGAATTAGTTGCAGTACACATGAACCAGAACACGATAAAAAGGTCATCATCAGTGGTTGTTAGGTGTTAGACTGAAGAGAGAATTGTTCCAGTTAGGTGATCCAACTCTTTTTTAGTGAATAACTACATACATGGGGGTTTCTACTCAGTCAAATCCTCCTTGCTAAAAACTGAAGCAACATATGATCTGAGCAACAAAGTCTGAAAAAGTGTGAGCAAAATGGAGAGAGTATAGTGTCAGATCGTTGGGCACAACCTGTGCTTTTAATTTAGCATTGTAAACCAAGAGTGGCCTCTTACCTATGTAGGAAATAGTAACCCAAGAGGGGAAAATGTTTCCATGTAAATACACTCTTAAATACAAAAAATGATGCACGGCAGTAAACTGCAAGTGCTAAAAAAAAATTTACAGATTTGTCATGTCTCATTAATCTCTATAAACTACTCCTGACTCATAGCGAGATAAACGGAAAAGCAAGAGCAATTATCAGGTCCTTGCCTTTTGTTGATCTAAGATAACATTCAAGATCCTTCCAGGCACATAAATTCTCTTCCTGATGCCTTTTCCATCAAAATATTTGGAGAGTTTCTCATCTGAGGCTGCAATTTGGAAAACATCATCCTCAGAGCACGCTTTGTCAACAAGGATTGTACCCCTGGTCTTTCCATTGATTTGGACAGGGAGTACAAGCTTTGATTCCTCCAGGTACTCACTTTTTGCCTGGGCAAAAGAAAAATGGCTCAGTGTTGTTTTATATGCCATAAAACACAATATTTCATGCATGGGCGAGATGCATCATTGTAAAGTACTCTTTAAGGCATCATGGTAGCAACTGGTAGCAAATCCTTGTCACGTACTGTAGGCATACTATTCCCACACAACTTCTTTCTTGAACATGCAGGAAAACACTGCAGTGTCTTCTATGCTTATTCAGATTAGGTTGTTTTAGTACCTAGCAACCATGAACAAGCAGTACAAACATTCTGACTAGATTTACATCTTGAAAGAATCATAAATGTATGTCATTCAGCTTATTAAGGGGTGATGTGCTGAAGCAGGATAGGTTTAATGATACCTCTGGAAACTGTTCATAGGCCAATGATTGTGGATGTCCGAGGCGAAACCAAAGCTCCTCAGCCAAGTGTGGTGCGAAGGGTGAAAGCAGCAGAACAAAGGATTCAATAACAGTTTTTGGCTGGGTTTCCCACTGTAAAAGAAAATAAGAGTCACATCATGTTCTTCCGTAAATCATGGAATATACAACCTTAGCTAGTTAGCTCCCTCTCTATATAAATGCATGTCATTTTGGACATGGCATGATCCAATAGAGCCAATGTTGACTAGTAATTTCCATTGTGTAAAAAGGAATAGAGCAGAATGGAAGTACTTGACGATGAGGATATTAGTTTTACTTGCACTTGGTCAATCCAAAATATTTCTAAAGTCTAATATTGCTAGAGAAATTAAGAGAAGTTTGGTTTCACCTTGTATGCAGCATTCACAAACTCCATCATCATTGCAGATATTGCAGTGTTAAATCTTGTTTCCTGAATTTCCTCCGCGACCTATACAAACCAAAATACCAAATAATACATCAGTCAGTCATCAGCCACAATTAGTCAATCACAACAGTACAAAAAATGAAAATGATCACTAACAAATCATGTTCTGCATTATGACTACACTGAACATTATAAAACATTGAAATAGGAGGGCAAAACTGTATGTAATTACAATTCTATTTGTGTCAATCCCACCTAGGCATGGGCATAACTTTTCGCATGGAAACTGATAAATAAGCATAGAACTAGCCACCTCTATTATTGGATCTAATAAGTATAAAATTGTAGAGAATTAGGGAACACCTCACACCTATTAAGGGAGGGGTGACTTTCATATATATAGTCAAGATACAACTTGGAGTACAAGTAAAGTACATACATATCTCTAGACTATACATATCTCTAATAAAAAGTAACTAAAATGGCAGGTTGAATAAGTTGTGGGATGACATAGTGTGTATCCTACTATCCTTACTACCACACATCAACCTGAATGTTATAAGATGGGCCTGATTTTTTCTCTTATTGTGTACTTGAAAGTTATAGGACACCCGTGTTATGGCTAGGACGTACTGCACATGTGAAGTATTCACATGAATAGTAGCAATAGCAGTGCCGTGGCTTGGAGGATGGTTTCTTCATCACCAAGTTTATATATTCCTAAATAGCTTGATTAGTTTCCTTTGTAGAGAACTAGAGATCATGTTAATTCATTTACATTCGAAGTTCCTAAAGCAACGATATACACGATAAGTTAGGGGGAGGCACCAATTGAAGAAAAAGCTTGTCCAACATGGCAACATCAATTGAGATGGTTTAGACATGCCTAACAGAGGCCTCAGAGGCACTGGTGCATAATGACATCCTAAGGTGTGCATATAACACAAGAGGCAGGGATAGGCTAAACCTGGCATGGAAGAGGCAGTGAAGGGAAGACATGAGAAAGAATATACCCAAAGAATCATCTTTGGTTGTAAAAGTTCACCGCAAATAGCTGATATGCTAAACATTTTGCATGGTTTATATTTCAGAGTGCATGAGCGAAAAGAGTGTTAACTGCTAACAGTGACAATTGTGACCTACCCTTGCAATACATTTGTGAAGAACTCGAAGCTGATCCAAGGTTGGTTCATCTTCAGTAGTCGTGGTTCCATCATTATATGATCCATCAGGTAATTGTGGACCAACTATGAGTCTCCATGTTCTTCCAAGGAACCGGTGCACACCTTCGATTCCCCCAGTGCTCCATGTCTTTGAATCTCTGGAAGTACCATATATCCCATCAACTTTGTCTAAGCAATTGTACTTCATCTTCATCTGTAAATATTTATACACACCTCAATGGCCCCATGAACATTTCGTACAAGCGAAGAGAATCAGCACCATATTCTGAAACAACATCATCAGGGTTGATGACATTCCCTCGACTTTTACTCATCTTGTAGGCACGAGCATTCAAACGAATGTTTGGATCATCCTTCAGAACATACTGATCTCCAACTTTTGTAACCTTGCAAAAAAATGAAGCAGAAAAAAAAATCAAACCCCAAACTTTTATCGCACCAATTGATAATGAACACAAGTACCAGACGCAGACCTTATCTGCAGCTACTTTTTCTTGGTAGCAATCAATCAAACTTGAGTCTGAGTCTGCAGAAACCCATCTGCCTTCATTGTCTCTATATGCAGTATACTCAACCTGTTACAGCATTTATTAGCAGCAATAAAATCATTCATGAACATGTAGAAGTTTTGGCACAAAGTTGTGTCACCTACTTCTCCTAGTATCAATCCTTGATTTATCAGGCACTTGAAAGGCTCTTTAGTGGAGACTACACCCATGTCATAAAGAACCTATGAAACACCACTTAGTTAGAATAAAGGAAGGCCAGACGACCGTATATGGTAGAACAATTGAGAAAACAACTGAAAACCAGATGTTAACCACTGGTCCCCAGATTTTCTAAGAGCAATGAATTTTGGCTAACAGGAGCTAAATTTCTGATGTATATTGGTAGAATAAGGGAGAAAACCATTGAAACCCAGATATTAACCACTGGTCCCCAGATTTTCTAAGAGCAATGAATTTGGACTAACAGGAACTAAATTTCTGATGTATATTGTATAACTTTAAAAATAGCCAATTCAGGAGTCCGTGATATTAATCAAAACTTCATGCACCAAAACCCTAATCATATTTAAAACTAAGCCCAAGGGGAGAGACATCCTGAAGGCATTGCTTGGTAAGTCGAGAAAAGGCACCTCAAAGCTGGCTCTTACAAATATGGGGACACCGTTGCCACAGGCGAGTCTTAGAGTATCTCCACCAATCTGCCAATAATCTATCCCCAATATGTAGGTATTCGGGTAGCCCAATATTATTTTTGTGAATCTTCAATACCCGGATAAAAGATGAGGCCCACAGGTGTGTAGGGAAAAAGATGATGGGCCCATGCTATTGGGGGAGATTGAAAGTTCTAGTTTGTTTTTGGTGAATTCATGAAACCCTAGGTGCTAACCCTTCTACTCTAAGTGATCATGAGATAGGGTAGCACATTCCAAGTGGTGGAGCAAATGATGAAGACCATGATGATGGTGGCGATAGCCATGGTGATGATCAAGTGCTCGGGCTTGGAAAAGAAGAAAGAGAAAAACAAAATGGGCTCAAGGCAAAGGTGAATTCCATAGGGCCATTTTGTTTTGGTGATCAGGACACCTAATGAGTGTGATCACATTTAGGATAGATAGCCGTACTATTAAGAGGGGTGAAACTCGTCGTGAAATGCGGTTATCAAAGTGCCACTAGATATTCTAACTCATTGCATATACATTTAGATTCTAGTGAGTGCTAACACCCTTGAAAATGTTTGTGAAAATATGCTAACACACGTGCACAAGGTGATACACTTGGTGGTTGGCACATTAGATCAAGGGTGGCGAAGTTGGTGGAGTCGAGGAGGTCAGTGGAGCTGACCGGACGCAGGACCGGACGTTGGACCTGTGCGTCCGGTCAGTGGTGAAGCAGTGGCGTGGCCTCGGTCTTGATGACCAGACTCTGAAGGGGCTGTTGACCGGACTCGGCGGAGGTGCGTCCGGTCAGCCGTGACGTACGCTGACGTAAGCTCTGAGAAGAAGGAGCGGACGCTGGCGTGGGTCCGGTCACCGTTGACCGGACACGTCAGGTCACGAAAAAGGCGCTCGGGGAGCTCTCTGGAAGTGACCGGACGCCACGTTGGTAGCGCGTAGCGTCCGGTCGAGGCGTTAGTCGCCAGTCGCTTGACTTTTTGGCTTCGAACGCTGCGCGATCAAACGCCGCGGGGGTGCATCAGGTCATGTTGCCAAGCGTCCAATCGTGACTTAGCCGTTGGCGCTAAGTTACTTGACCGTTGGGATCGGGCGGCGGTGGTTGAACGCGGGACGCAGCGTGGCGCTTGATCCATGACCGGACGACGCAGGGGGCGAGCGCCCGATCATCTCGACGACCGCGTCCGTCCGATCGCCTCGTGGAGGCGAGGTGAGTGGCGCCTAACGGCTCTATTTCGTGGGGGCTTCTATTTAAGCACCATGGCCGGCTCTTGCTCACTCTCTTGGTCATTTTCATTGACATAGCAACCTAGTGAACTAAGCCAAAGCCCTCCCACTCATCTCCATCATTGATTCATCATCTTTGTGAGATTGGGAGTGAATCCAAGTGCATTGCTTGAGTGATTGTATCTAGAAGCACTTGGTGATTGTGTTTCGCTACGGATTTCGCTTGTTTCTCTTGGTGGTTGCCGCCACCTAGACGGCTTGGTGCAGCGAGGATCGTCGAGCGGAGGGTGGTGATTGTCTCTGGCTCCGATTGTGGTGATTGTGAGGGGTTCTTGACCTTTCCCCGGCGGAGAGACAAAAGGTACTCTAGTGGATTGCTCGTGGTTTGTGGATCCTCATCTTGTGTTGGTTGTGCGGCACCCGATTGCGGGTTAGGCGTGTGATGCCTATTAACGCGTGAACCTCCAAGTGAGTGTATCGCCACAACGGGGACTAGCTTGCCGGCAAACAAGTGAACATCGGTGAAAAATTATTGTATCATCTTGTCTTCGAGGATTTCATTGGTATTCATTGTGATTGATTGATTGATCATCTCTTGCCACGGCGGTATAAATATCACTACCTCTCTTGTATTTGCTTTACTAGTGTAGCTAAGCTCTTTAGTGTAATTAGTTTTGAGAACTAGCTTGTGTCTTGTCTGGTGGTTAGTGATGCTCTGTAGTTAGTCTTTGAGAGTTCACTAACTTAGTGGTGACTTAGCCTCTTGTGTGATATAGAGACCATAGATAACTAGAATGTGGATAGGAGGCTTGCATTTTTATTAGGCTAGCGCAACCCTCACTTCGCCATTTAATTGTCTAACATCTTGGCTTAAGTGTTGTTGTAGAAATTTTCAATAGACTATTCACAACCCCCCCCCCTCTAGCCGTTAGGACCTTTCAGAGATGCAACTCCCCCATTATTTGAGGGGAGATTATTGGTGGTCACAGAAAAAAGGGATAAGTATTGGGAGACTGCTAGAGCAAGGAAAAAACACAGTGACCTCAATATGAGAGTTTTATGGGAATAGGGGGGGTATTGGGGGATATGCTCTTAACCCATACTTTTTGGGAACATACAGCGAGGGGACTTTTTTTTATGCGAGAACCACAACTGGAGGACTTAACACCATGCTACAAGTATGTTCTCGGCAAAATCATAGTAATGCAAACATGGTAGCACTTGCACAAAGATATCAACAAATTAAGCTACAAGGTTTGCATGGGACAAGAGAATAACTAATTTCATCACCTTTAACGGAACTATAGAAGGGCATAAACTTGTATTAGAACATAAAAATTACCTTGTGCCAAAATCTTGCATAAAGCAAGTGCAAGACAGAATGTTCAGCACCACCAACGTAGATGTCAACTGGACCCCAATACCTGTGTGATATGAGAATCAGAATAAGTTAGTTCCACCATGTAGCACACCCCTTATTGGAGATGACAGAAGAAACAAGGATGCACCTTTCTTTAGCCTTGTCAACCAATATACTGCAGTTTTTGGGATCCATGAACCTCAAATAGTACCTGAAATAATGATTTCATGACACTAAAGATGTAAGGGCTCACAAGCCACTGCATAAAACCAGAAAGGATATGTTTCAACAGTGTGGGAACAGTTTTCCAAATGACAGTATGATGTTAGAATTTGATGCATTCTTCCATGAGACAATAAGGCTCCTATTATATATTAGAAAAAATTCTCCAAATGCTCATTGCCTCATGATTGTTAGAATATGATAAAAGTTACCAGCAAGATCCAGCCCATTGTGGCATGGTGCTTGTTTCTCTTCTTGCGGGCTTCCCAGATAAAGGATCCATGGTTCTAACCTGGAAAGGCAGTAAAAACAGTTAAATAGTAAATAGATGTGCTCAGTATGTGCAAGAGTAAAAGAATGATAAATGCAAGTTTTGCCAACAGGGAAAGGGGTGAACTCAGAGTGGTAGTTTAACTAAATTTCATGACACTGGTAGGCAGATGTTTCTTGTAGTTTCAAACAATCAATGTTCATGTCAACCAATTGTCTTTCTAACGTGCTAACTAAAAGACATAGTGATGAACAATGCAATGCAGCCCAAAAAACGGATGAAATGCAACTTTTGGGGACTTGTGTTTGACCCCCTAAAAAAGGCTTTTGGGATGGGTCTTTTATATACAATTTCTAATGCAATTTTGGGATTCACGCAATACAGTCATAATTTTATATTATTTTCTTGCCTTCAAAATTTTCCTTTTCCTATCTAACTCAAGAAGTGTTTGCCACTTACACCCTTCTATATCTAAAACAGCCCAACCTCTATGCTCCCCTTCCCATTTGACATTCTGATTTCTTCTTTCATTATGGTTATTTTAGATTTCTAACAATATATTGCCATTGCACAGTAATGTCTCAAACAGCTTAAAGTCATACCCAATTCGTTGCTTTAGTCAAAGGTGGCTCCCCAGTACCAGTCGGAGTAAAATCATCCAATTCAGGAAGAGTTAAGGGCAACTCATCTTCTGAAAGAGGAACCATTTCATTGGTATCATCAAGGTAGCTCACAGGGAAAGGTTCACCCCAATAGCGCTGTCTGGCAAAAAGCCAATCTCGAAGCTTGTAGTTAACCTGATATTCGGTTCTCCTCAATTAAATTCTGATGAAAGTAGTATGCACAACATATTATATGATGAAGCAGGATGAAAGCACCTTTTTCTTTCCAAAACCATTACTCTCTACCCACTCAATAACCTTCTTAGCAGCATCTTGGGAAAGCATTCCGTTAATACTCAATCCAGATGAAGAACTAGATGAATTAATCATGATGCCATCATCTTCATATGACTCCACTGGATCACAATTACCATTCGGTGGACTTACAACCTTAATGATTGGAAGTTCATATTTCACGGCAAATTCATGGTCACGAGAATCATGTGCAGGCACTGCCATGATAGCCCCAGTGCCATAGCTGCAGGGAGGCAGCCAAAGATTAGAATGCAAAAACAGTCAGGAACAATAGTAACAAGTGTATTTTTTTCAAATCTTCCTCAAATATTTATTAAATTATAAAGGTAATTCCAATAGCTTATTGGTCAATTTTATGAGTAGCAACAAAATTCTGCCAGGTGATCAGGTCCCTTACTGGATAGCAAAATTTAGTTTATGGTGAAAACGGAACAATAGATCCAAAATGAAAATGTATGTATATGGAGAACTGAATTAAGCAAACTATAGTGAGACTTGTGCCTATAATATTACATAAGAAGAGTTTTATTACATAGATGTAAAAAACCAAGGTTCTCTACCAAACTACAATAAGAAGCATAAAGTATTTACTAAATAGATGTAGAAACCTAGGTTCTCTAGCAAACTTGTGTAGAGTTTCTAGCATTTGATCTTTCAGAAACAAGATGAACAAAACAATGATAATGCACAAGACAACATCAGAATACACAAGGAACATATGTTGACAAACCTTCCTAGAACATAATCTGCCACCCATATTGGAATGATTTCCCGGTTGCTGGGTTCTTAGCATAAGAACCACTGAAAACCCCAGTTTTTTCCTTCTGAAGATCAGTTCTTTCTAGTTCACTCTTTCTTGCTGAAAGATCCCTGTATTCCTCTACCTGCCATTTCCAATTAGTCCATAATATACTTCAAATTTTTATGATGCTATAGTTAATTAAGGACAAAAAGAACATACATGTGCTCGTTGTTCCTCAGATGTTAGAGATGACAGTAAAACATGCTCAGGTGCCACAACAAGATATCTGCAGCAGAAAAAAAAAATCATCTCTATATTGTCCATCCGGGTCCATAAACAAGTAATATGCAAAAAGGCAAAAGAGAGAGAGAAACCAAAGTACACACGTTGCACCAAAAATTGTGTCAGGCCTTGTTGTGTAAACCAACAAAGTGGCACCTAGGTCATGTCCTTCCTGGTCAACTGCAGAAAAAACAAGCTCAGCACCTTTTGATCTCCCTATCCAGTTTCTTTGCATTTCTTTGATACTCTCAGGCCAATCAAGATCATTCAAATCTTCAAGAAGACGATCAGCATAAGATGTTATCCTCAGCATCCACTGGCGCATTGGCTATACAACAGAGGAAATGGATAGCCGCAATATGACATTTCTGCATATAGGTACTTAGCAACCATGCATTGAAATGAACAAGTTCCGCAGATTCTACAACATACCTTTCGTATAACAGGATAACCACCACGTTCACTCACACCATCTACAACTTCTTCATTCGCCAGGACAGTTCCAAGAGCAGGGCACCAATTGACCGGTACCTCGGCCTGATTGCAAGATATCAATGCCAGCCTAAAAAATCAATGAAAACCACAAATGCAACACTAAGAACATAAAAACAGAATCCTAAAGAACAGTACAAAATAGTTTATCACTAGCAATAAAGAAAGTGTGAAACAGGAATTATAACAAATGATAAGCACATTTGTAACCTAAGATTCAACAAGAATGGCAGAAAATAGTATTTTCTGACCTGATAAGCAAGTCCTCTCTTCAACAGTTGAAGGAAAATCCATTGTGTCCATTTATAATAAGCTGGCTCTGTGTGGAGATTTTCACGATCCCAATCATCTGAAAAACCTAACGATTTAAGCTGCAAAAATGAGAAAACATCTTCCTAATGAACCACTGGTAGTCAAAGTATGATACATAATACTTCTACTTCTCTTTCAGTAGGTAGAGACATTAAAAAAAGTAAACATGTCTCCATACTTCACAGAAACTACAAATGGAATGGCAGATTAGCGCCTTTTTTTCTAAATGGGAGGACATGGACATTTCTTTTGTGTTTTCTCAAAAGAAAATGTAGTGCATTATTTTTCAACAACTCAACTGTACAGTTGATACAAATCAAACATTGCTCAGTACTGCATGAACAACTTTCAGGCTGATTACACAAAGAAGCACCCCACAAGCATTACAAAAAAGGTCCACAAAAGAGTTATACAGGTTACTTCTTTTTACATCTTATTAAGACCTGCATAAATGGTTATATTGCTCTAGAACACTTGACAGTACCAAGATCATATCGGCACTGCAAGCTTGTCATTTCATAATACAGATCAAGCTCTTTCTCTCTAATACAAAAAAAGCGCAGCTCTCCCGTGTTTTCGAAAAAAAAAATACAGATCAAGCATCAGGGCACACTTTTAGTATAGACTAACATGGCTAATGGCAATTGCCCAGTCTTTTTTTTGGCAACCAAGTGGTAATGCAATGATTGAAAAGTGCAAATCATATCAAAGTGGAAATGCATAAAGAAGCATGAGAGCTCCATTTAGTTGCTACCATAATAGCTTCTACATGCTAGAGGCAAAACTTGCAGCAACAATACATATACATGGAGCATATTACCTGTGTGCGGAAGCGCCCAATGTTCCTTTCAGTGGTAATCTTAGGGTGGGTTCCCGTCTGTGCACAGAGTACCCATGTCAGATAACTACAGTACATGATAACCCTTTGAGATGGAAGGCTATATGAGGGCATAAAGTAAAGTGAAAGTTCTAAACGACCTCAATAGCGTACTGCTCAGCAGGAAGACCAAATGCATCCCATCCCATTGGGTGCAAAACGTTGAAGCCTTTCATGCGCTTGAATCTTGACAGAATGTCAGTTGCCGTGTATCCAAGGGGGTGCCCAACATGCAGCCCAGCCCCGCTGCACAACATTTTGAAAATAGTTTCAACAACGAGCAACACTGTCTAGTGCTGATTTAGGAAGATTCGGCTCCTAGATAAATCAAATTTAGTGCTAACAAAACCAGGGTGAACTTGAACGACTGCAGCACACAAATCAGCGCGGTGCAAATTAGATGGCCAGAGGGCACCTTGCCTGGGGTAAGGGAACATGTCGAGGATGTAGCACTTGGGCTTTGAGGTGTCGAGCCCCTCGCCGATGTCCGGGGTGCGGAACGTGCGGTGCTCCTCCCAGTGCCGCTGCCACCTCGGCTCGACCTCGTCGAACGGGTACGCCCTCCTCGCCGCAGCCTGCGCCTTCCCCGTGTCGGCCGCAGCGGCGGCGCTGGCACAACAGCGAGCTCGGAGGAGCGGCAGGGAGCGGCAGACGGGGAGGAGTCGGTGGCGGCGCCAGTGATGGCCCGCGGTAACGGCGGGAGGCCGCGCCTGGAGCTGGAGCGGGAGTTGGAGGGGCCATTGCAGCGACAAGGCCATCGGGGAGCGGGAGCGGGAGCTAGCGCCCAAGCCTGTATAGCCCCGGTTTGGGATAAGGTTTTAGAATTTGGTGAGGGGGAGAGTAGGGATAAAAACGGATCGGATACGAACGGATATCACTCATATTATATTTGTTTTCATATTTCTGTTTGGATTTAGACATGGATAGTGTTCGGATACATATATGAATATGGATTGACTCGGTTACGGATACAAATAATGAGTATCGAATACAGTATAAATTGGATTCGGAGAAGGTCGAATACAAATATCTATTCGAATATTGAGTAAAAGCAGCATATATATATATATATATATATATATATCATACGTGCGCAAATCATTACATCACTCTATGAGTCCATAATCCATCTAGATTAAGCCGAAAGCCTAAAGAATAAAACAATAAATAAGATAAAGATACAGATACATCATACATCAAACATCATACAAGCACCAATCTTCGCGACATGAGTAGAAATAGCCAAGCTCATAGCTTCATGGGTCTCATGGAGTCATGGTCATGGATTCAAGATCTACAATCTTTATATAGGTCATTTTTTCATTTGAGAAAGTTTGAATAAAATGTAGTTCAAATTTCACAAGTGTGTGACATAGTTTTAGAAAGTCTATATGAGATTCAAAAATTTGTGACTAGTGTTTGATAAAACTTTCTCAAATGGGAAAATAAGCTATGTAACAATTGTAGATCTTGCTGAGATGATCAAACTTGGTATTCAGAGTTTTTTCATCTGAGGTCATTTAGTGTCTCATTTGAGCAAGTTTGACCAAGTCAAATTTGGTCAAATGAAAAAACAACACTTTGACTCTAGTATTATGAACTCTAAATGACTTCAAATTGAAAAGTTATGAATACAAAGTTTGTTCAACTCATCAAGATCTACAATTGTTGTTTTGGTCAACTTTCCATTTGAGATAGTTTGGACGGTTCAAATTTGTGATTTTTAAATTTCGACGTTTACAAACTAGTTTTCAGAACCCTAGATTGTCTGAAATTGAAAAGTTTTGAATACCAAGTTTGTTCATCTCATCAAGATCTACAATCCTTATATAGGCCATTTTTTCATTTGAGAAAGTTTGAACAAAATATAGTTTAAATTTCACAAGTGTGTGACATAGTTTCAGAAAGTCTATGAGATTCAAGAATTTGTGACTACTGTTTGATAAAACTTTCTCAAATGGGAAAATGAGCTATGTAACAATTGTAGATCTTGCTGAGATGATCAAACTTGATATTCAGAGTTTTTTCATCTGAGGTCATTTAGTCTCATTTGAGCAAGTTTGACCAAGTCAAATTTGGTCAAATGAAAAAACAACACTTTGACTCTAGTATTATGAACTCTAAATGACTTCAAATTGAAAAGTTTTGAATACCAAGTTTGTTCAACTCATCAAGATCTACAATTGTTGTTTTGGTCAACTTTCCATTTGAGATAGTTTGGATGGTTCAAATTTATGTTTTTTAAATTTTGACGCATATAAACTAGTTTTCCATTTGAGAAAGTCTGGACGGTTTAAATTTTGAAGCACTAAATGATTTCAAACGAAAAAGTTGTAAACAACAAAGTTTCATAACTTTTTGAGATCTACAATTTTTATTTTGATCATTTCTCCATCCAAGGTCGTTTGAATAATATCCGGATAATATCCGTTTGAAAATATCCGGATATATCTGATACTTAACCGGATTATCCGATATCCGCCGGATATCGATGATATTACATCCGTATTTGATATCCGCCTAAGATATCTGTTTTATTATCCGTATCCGAAAAAAATTACGGATATCCGAATAACTATCCAGATAAGTGTTCATATTCGTTCGGTCGAACGGACGGTCGAATAAATATCCGTACCGTTTTCATCCATAGGGGAGAGGGATGGGGTGGAGAGGTGGCCGGGTGGGGAGAGAGATACGAGAGAGAGAGAAACAAATTTAACACTTTAACACCCTGTGCGCTTACGTTGAAATTTTACTTGTGCTTAAATGTTATGAGAGAAAAACAGTGTTCTATGACTGAAAAGTAGCTCAAGCGAACCGGGCATAAATCTCTTTCGAGTTGCTGTATTTTGGTGCGGGAGCAGTTTTACATATGTCATCATCTATTGTAATTCCACAACAAGGAAATCTACAGAACTTCTCTGTCGATGCAGAAAGTGATCAACAAGTAAATATTTGTAGTTTTGCCGTACGTTGTGATCGGAGATGGCCTAGCACTCAATGACACAGGGTTTATACTGGTTCAGGCAACGTGCCCTACGTCCAGTTCGAGTCGGTCGATGACTTTATTTCTGAGCCCAGGTACTCGAAGTTTGCAGTGGGGTTACAAACGAGAAGGAGAAAGATGGGGTGTACGTGAGGTCCGATCGGACTCCTGTCGGAAGGGCCGAGAGTGACGGGAGCCTCGTTATGAGCTAAGTGTTCAAGCGTGTGCTGGTGGTTCTATGATTGTGTACTAGTGAACTTGATCGATCTAATGAATCTGGAATCACCTTCTCTATTGGGAGAGAGCGCATCCCCTTTTATAGATGAAGGAGATGGTCTTACAAGTAAGAGGAAGAGAGCACGTATGCTTCTAAGCCTTGTTGCCCACGCCGGCGGGTACAGGATGATGGTAGGCGCCCACAACACTGTTGGATGTCGGATGCACGTGGGAGGCTGCATCGTTTTGTTCGGGTATGACAGATGTCGGTACCTGCTATACTGTTGATGCCCAGAGGCATGTGAGAAGTTTCACCATATTCACTCGATACGGTAAATGCTGACGCCCACAACACTATCAATGTCCAGAGGCATGTGTGGGGAGCCTTACCGTACGGGAGTTAATGGCATCCACAATACTGTAGGGAAAATTTCGACGCCTACAACACTGTTTGTGTCAGGAAGGTTGCAGAGTACTGTTTCTGCAGGTGCACAAGGTACGGTCCCTGGTATCGTGGTTTGACTTGTGCGCCTTGCCTTGCTTTCTCCGTTCGTTCCCTGGTCCTTTCTGAGCGGGCGTCCCCGGTCGGTTGGTCCCAGTCGACTCTGGTTGCGCCAGTCGGAGAAGAGCAGTGAGCAGGGTTTTTGCGTACCCCGGTCGGAGACGTGGGGTCGGAGTTGGAAATAGTGCTTTGGTCAGGCCTTCCAATCGGAGAGGCCGCCCGGAGGCGAGCTGGAGACCGAAGTGAGCCCTCCGGTCGAAAAGGTGGGCCGGAGTCGGAAAACGGGCGCCGCTCCTCCTCGGCTATACCTTCCGGTCGGTGATTGGATCGCCCTTCTGACCTGTTGTTTAGATACTTGGGCCGATCATATGAGTTGCGCGTTGTCTGCTTGGGCCGAGCCTTTATTGGTAAGTCGGTCTGCGAGAGACCCCGGGTTTATGAACCCGACACTCTCCGACTCAGTACAGAAACAAATCATCTACTGAAGTTCAAGAGGATCTAGCAGTCGTCAAATTACTACAGAGAAATTATTTACTTGTCCCCTACGTATACATGTGGTGCCACAAAACTACGTACAGCCTTCTGATTCTGATTCAATTAATAATTCCCGCTCCGATAAATTCCAGGTGTCTGTTGCGGCAGCTGGAAGAAGATCATGGGCTGATGCTGTATGAGACTTTAGTGAGGCCTTTCTTGACTCTTATGTTTGTTACCTGATGGAACATAGGAAATGAGGTCAGCTTCTCCAAGTCCTAACTCCTAAGGTATAAAGAGAAAAATGATGCACAGCATATGTCAAAAGTTCTTTGACTCTTATTACGTCAGTTTATCTGTCCTGACAATTTCTGTGTATGCCAAATTAGGTAGCATGAGTACCATCAAGTCGAAAAATTAGAAAAATGATGCAAATCATAGGAAACGAGGGTCATGAATGCACTAGCAGGACGCGATGTACATTGATGGCTTACTAGAAACACCCAAATGTCCAACTACGGTGCCCTCCACTCAAAATATCATTTGCATCGAATATCATTGTTAGGATTCATTCACAAAAGCCATTCTACTTCCAAATTTCGTGATGGAAGCTATCGTTCAGCTCATGCCCCAGTTTCTAAGACTAGTGGATAATTCTGTAGGAAATTTTGACAGGCCTGGGAAACCCAACTGTGAGAATACTAGTGTGGCATAAATAATAATAATAATTACCTTTAGGCTATTGATGATTGAAATGTCAGCAACATGAGTACCACCGCAAGGACCACCAGGATTATCCCCGAACTTCACAATGCGAGGAGTGCTATCCTGCCATGAAAACATAAGGTCGCGAACAATGTTAATGAGAAACACAAAACTTTGAAAAATAGACATCTACACTAGAATATTCCCGATTAAAATCTAACTATTGATGCTTGATTACAATGATAATTCAAGACGTACTCACACATAGAAATGCAACCTTATGCATTTTTCAGATGCAAACGCATATACTCCCTCTGATTCAAAATACTTGCTGTTTTAGCCTTCTGAATTTCTTTCAAAATACATGTCGTCCTAGAACTTCTAGGCACTTTTTTGCTCTTTATTACTTCCTTTCTTGCCCTTGCTAAATAAATATTATCACTCTCACAAATAAATGAATATCTCTTTCCATTTTGGCATAAATGAAGAGGAATAAGTTCATTTCATCCACTTCCTTAATATCTGTGCACAACTCTAAAACATGTATTTTGAATCGCGGGGAGTATCAATACAGTGATGATGTCAATAAATCAAGAGATAAGAAATGTTTCTGCAATCCTTGAGTAGGAAGTAAACTGGAATGATATTTAATAAAAAGTCATTCAAATGTATACGATCAATGATGCTGGTGGAATGTACATTTCTTTCAAATGTATACAATCAATGATGCTGGTGGAGTGTACATGTAGTACAAGCAAAGATAATGCATCTAAGAAGTCTACAGGACTAACCTTTGAAATGTAGCTAGGCAGAGAACCTCCGCATAATATCGCTGCCTCCTCATAAGGAAAAACAGAAGCTAAGACCTGCAAAAGGGTGAACACTTAAAGGCGACAGAATGGATGCTATGCACTTCGACATATTCAGCTTGTTTATCCACCTTCGCTCCTTCTGAAATTAGCCTATTGGCTTCCCTTTCCAGTTCATTTTTCTTAACCGGTATTTGATCTGGAGGAATTACTCCCTTATACTCAACAAACGCTCTACAAAGAACAGAGACACAAAACAGTTGTCTGATCAACAACTGGAATCCAACTAAACTGGCATAAATGCCAGCAGTTAGTTTAAACAGCTGGACCCAAATGCTAGTAATACAAAGAACAAAAAGAATAAAAGCACTAAAAAATAAGTAATCATACCCATCAGGAAAATGGTAGCCTTTCCCAGGTTGCAGATGAAAGAGGCCTACATTGTGGACACAGATGTCCAACAAATGCCCAGCAGAATGAAGCCTGTAACATTACAGAGATAGCATAATGAGAAGTAAAGCTTAGACATTCAGAAATAATGAAATGACAACGAGCAGACAGAAACTGGGTGATGAAATGCTGAAACTGCTTATTACACTGAGCATCTATGAGCTGAATACATCACTTCTTACTTCTATAGGCATTCCTTGTGGAAATACAAGTATGGATCATCTGGCCAGGATGTCAGCTATGAAATAATGTTAGCTTCAAGCAGCTTAACTAGTTAATTTGATTGCAATTTGTAAATACAACTTGATACATGGGTGTCCTTAAAGACTCAAAGCTCTTCTAATAAGTAAATGGGAAGGCCTCAAGTACACAAAGGAAAGCTTATATACACAACAGAACCATTCAGATAGCATCACCTTGAATTAAAGCTGCGCCGTTCTGCGTCGACCTCCAAGCTAACGGTTTCCCCCTCTTTAAATCCAATCCCACATCCTTGTTCCGTGCCCTCAAATCTTCCATAGTGGAAAACCTGGGTGCCAACCACAAGATGAGAGAGGCATGGCAAGTAAAAGAAAAAACAGAACTCCTGTGACAATCTCATGGTTCATGAACAAGTTTGAAGCTTTTGTTGCTGATAACGAAAACCCCCGGATCCTCACCACTCCATCCTTCGCCCGTGCATCCTCAGCGAGGAACCTGGCTCCGCCGGCGGAGATGACGCCCGTGTCCGCCGGTTGGCCGCCGCCCTGCGGGTGGAAGACTGTGGCGTCCAGCACCACCGCTACCCGGCCGCCGTCCTCCTGCGGACACCCGGAGCTTAGCTCAGGCCGGGTCCAGCCTAGGGTTTCGCGCCTACGGCTACGGCGGAGGAGAAGAGGAGGGAAGGGAAAACCAGGTGGACGGAGAGGACGGTGGCGGAGTAGCGGAGCGCTCCCATATCATCGAAGTAGACAAGCCTGGTGGGGCCCGCAGGCCTCGCCGGTGCAGCCTCCTGCGCCATGTTTCCGTGGAGGCGGTGGTGGGAGACTGGAAGTGATCGCCGCCGGTGACAACTGACAAGGAAGTTCGGGCTGGGGTGAGGAGTACCAGGCAGCGCCAAGTGGTTCAAATCAAACGCGCGAGACGCTCGGAAGACTGAAGATTCTGAAGAAATGAACAAGACCTGAGAGGCAATATATAGCCCGCGGTGACAGAAACTACACGGAAGAATACTTCAATTACGTGCTGTTTAGAAAATTTTTAATGGCGCAGCCAGTCAGATGGTCTCATCATGGCCTGGTTTCGAGGTGCTTTCGTTCTTTGCCCAGTTTTCTGTTTGTCTCTGGACTGTTCTGGAGATAAAAAGGATTTTGCAAGGTTATTGCTGGAGCAGGTTGGCTTTGACGGCTTTGCGACTTTGACTGCCCATTGCCCCCAATAAACTGGGAATTTGGGAAAGGTTAACGCATAGTACCTCTCTATAAAATGCTACTCCTATGTGTCTGTCTCTCGCTTCTCGCTTGGTTCTGGAGACGCCCCGAACTTTGACGAACCATAGACATCCCAGGAGCTAACAGCTTCCACCTTCCAGAGTTCCAATCAGTCACCTTCCACCAAGCTTCCACGAAGCTTATCTCCATTACACAACAAGCAGTGGCGGAGGTTGAAACTTTTTGAACTTTGATGTTCCACTGAATAGAAACATGTGAATAGTGCGGAGTTCAGAGAGAGAACTCATATAATTGCCACGCGCATTACATTTCTCCAAGAGTCAAACTCTTCTAAGTTTAACTAGTTATATAAAAAATAGTACGGTACTTATATCTCTAAATATGTTTATTATGAAAGCACATTCCACGATCTATATGATAGTGCTTATTACCCATCATATTTGATCAAATTTAAAAGAGTTTAATTCCTCGATGAGTGAGATATACGCTTATTTTGGGATGGAAGAGGTACTAGTTAATTACAGACACCCTCAACTGTAAAGCTATACAAACAAAAGTGTATCATTTTAATAGAATTTCATTATTCACACCTCCTCGCCTTTTCTCGTTTTTGGAGACAAAGCAGATAATACAAAGATGAACATTAGCCCTAAAAACTAGATACTACATTGTCCTGATCTTGTACAGTGATTATTGAAGAGAACTGAATGTCTGAATCTTCAGGGGACACGCTGACATCTGCACCAGTAAGCTACTCCACCGCCTCTGCCTTGCGCAACAGCGATTTCCTCATCAACATAAAACCAAACAAAGAACGGGTCCTTTGTGCTGGGTTCCCTATCATCATTGCTGCTTCCAAAGCCGATTTCTAGGGGACCCAATGGTCCAACCTTTATGCGAACCTGCTCGAAGATGAATGCGAGTATTTTCTTTTTCCATGACAACCTCCCTTCAAACGTTAAGCACCCAATAGGGCCCAAATATATGCCATTCTCAATCCGTTTGCCCTGCAGATAATAATTACAGCAGTCATATATCAGATATCAGCACATGTTTGTAAGGTGCAACCAAGAAAACCTATAGTGGACTAACAGTGTACGAATTTGCAAATTTCATATTTAAGGCACATAGAGCTACGTTGGTTTAGCAAAAATGTTTGTTGCAGTTGGAAACACGTTCTTTCATGCCTCCGGGCTCAGGATATCATGCTGCAGGGCATCACTATATTGGTACTGCTTGACCTCAACTGGGCATATTGCGCAATGGTGGTCATGTATTGAACAGTGCTTACTTTAGAGAGAAATGTGAACATATGATGACTATAAAAAAAAGATGTCTACATGGATTTCTTGCATTGTTCAGCAGAAAGAACTTTACAGTGGCAGATAAGAAACTGTTTGAACTTTGAACAGACATAACAAATAAACATACTATTAACATGGCAATTCAAGTACTTGATTATTCAGGTACCACTGATCATCAGAGCTATCATATCATAGCATCATCATGAGGAGCTGCCATGAGAAGCTCACCGCAGCATCGAAGCGCTGGACTGCAGTCACTGGAAAATACTGTCCTTTATCCAGCCGACCCTATATATACAGACATTAAATCAATCAATCAAGCAGCAAAACATAGAACTTAATCCATGACCCATTAAACGTATGGGTCTTCACCTTTGCAGTGAAGATAAGCATCCATGTCCTGCCTGGAGACTCAGTACCACCAAGTGTCTCAAAGAATGTCGATGTGTCAAGTTTCGCCTTCTTGATCTTGGACAGCGCCGAGAGAATTTCTGGTGCAGGTACTTTCCTTGTCTTGGCTGCCTTCTTGAGCACCTTCACACTGTCCGTGACAGCCTACTCTAAACCCACATCAAGAAAATGGTTTTTACTAGTTGCATAACAGGGCACCTTGTAAAGAACCATGAAACTTTCAAGAAATTATGAGGCAGTGGCATTAATGGCTAAATGCCTAAATGCTACGTTTCAAGAAATTAACCATGCACATTTTCCTGTGAATTTAACTAGTACATGGAAAATTTCATTATTCAAGCAAGTTGGATTTTTCTTTCTTTCTTTCTGATAGAGACCACAGATTCAGTGGCAAAAAGTAAAACTGAAGTTCAAGAAATGTGAAAGACAAGTAGTGCCAAGAGTCCAAGAGAATGATGACAGTTTGCACCTTTGTCACTGAGACTGCACCGAAGCAATTCATTAACACAGGTAGGGTAAAAACGTTAGAAATTTAAGCGCAGGACAGCGAAAAAAGTTAAGAGGAAACGCTTGGGCCATGGCTACATCGCGCAACCACAGAGTGGAAAACAGATGAGCAACAAATTATAGGCGCCAGCAGCTATACGACCCCGTGGATACTCACCGACAGAGGTTCCTGCGGTGAGGACGGGGGGGACGACTCTTTCTCGACTTCCGGCGACGCGGCGGAGGAAGCAGCGAGTGATACGCCGCGGCGACAGTTGGGGGAGCCGTGGAGATGCAGCCGTGGCGCGGTCTGGAGTCGGTACGGGAGCGGAGAGAAGACTGGAGCGAAGGCCGTGGAAGCTTGGAGCAAGGCTGACGACGCCATCGTCGTCGTATTCGTCGTTCCTTGGACCTTGGTTTCAGATCGAGAGAACGGAGCTGCAACGGTGTAGCGTAGTGCGGGGTTTGTGTGGCGGTTGAGGAATGAGGACGGGGGAGGAGCGCGGAACTCTTGGTCACCATGGCACCGCGCTGACGTGGGCAAAGCTCGGCTCCTTGCCTCAGAGCACCCACGGTGTAGTTCAAAAGCTATCTTTCTGACTCGTTATCCCTCCGTCCATAAATGTCTATCATTTTCGCTTCTCGATAAACAACTTTGACTAAATATATATTAAAAAATTAATATTTATAATACATAATTAGTATTATTGATAGATATTTGAATCTAGTTTTTTAATAAATTTATTTGGAGATAGAAATGTTGTACGTATTTTATATAAATCGAGTTAAAGGTATCGACACGCAAATCATGGCGACAAACATTTAGGGACAGAGGAGTATGGATGAAAACGGATCGGATACGAACGGATATCACTGATATTACATTTTGTTTTTATATTTATGTCCGGATTCAGATTCGAATACGGATATTGTCAACCATGACGGATAGGATACGATTGGATATCGACGTCATAAATATGCGATTTGATTATTCGGATACGGATACGGTATCGGATGTTGAATATCCGGACTCGGATACAGACAGATTTGAACTCCTCTAAACGGATTCGGTCTCGAATACGGTCGGAAAATATCCGTACCGTTTTCACCCCTACAGAGGAGTGTACTACTAAGCAAACGGATCGGATACTCACGGATATCATCGGATACTCACGGAGCCACGGATATTATTGATATTATATCTTTTTATATTTCTATTCAGATTCAAATACGAATCGTATTAGTTATGTCGAATATGATACAAATGGAGATCGATATCATAAATATACGATTTGAGTATTCAGATATATGGATATCGATATCATAAATATGTGATTTGAATATTCAGATATAGATACGGTCTTGGCGTTGAATATTCAGATTCAGATACAGATGGGTCTAAACTCCTCTAAACATGTTTGAACTAGGATATGGTCCCAAAATATCCGTACTATTTGCACCCGGCTGACCTTAAAAGCATACGAGTATTTTATAATTTTAGGGATGGTAGAAAAAAAACCTTACAAATTTAGTAGACTCTGCGCTCCAAATTAGGACATGTTTGGAGCTCAACTTCACCAAAAATGGTTTCTCCGTAGTTTACGCTAATTCATTGCTTTGTTTCATTTGTGCTGATTGTGCGTGGTGATACCGCTATTTACACGAGGGACGGCCGTCTTCCTTGCTACCCACCGTGTTTTTTCTCGTCTAATTTTGCCATTTGTTCACGTTGACGAAAAAGAGAAATCGAAGGGCATACATTTAGGGGTGAAAAATTGTACGGATATTTTCTAACCATATTCTAAACCATTTAGAGACGTTTAGATCTGTCCGTATTTAAGTTCAGATATTCAACATACGATATCGTATCCATATCCAACTCAAATCACGTATTCATGATATTGATATCTAGACACTCCGTATTGAATCCGAATAAAAAAAATATCGTATCCGATCGGATTTCGTCCCTACAAAACACCTCATTCGGTCATCGCATAGGCCTCTACAGCTTTCATTCACAAAAAAAAAAAGAAAGAGAGGCCTCTACAGACTACAGCTTTCCAGCCTCGCGGGCGTCCAGCGAGATCCGTTGCCGGCCGGCCCCTTCCCTCCCTCCTGGCCGGCTCGCCCGTCCTGTCTGTTCTTCTGGCCACGCGGGTGCGGACCTGCACGCCCTGCAGATCGCCGACCACCCCTCGGCCACCCTCCATGCTCCTGCGGTCCGCGCCGCGCCGCCTCCACCTACTCCGCCCGCACCACCTACGCCTCCTCTCCGCCGCTGCGCTCGCCTCCGCCGCCCCGGCCCAGCTCCCAACCGAGTGGGCCGAGGCTCCGCTTGCCTGCGTCCGCCCGGCCACCGCCGACGCCTCGCTCTTCCACGTCTCGCTTGACCTCTCCGCGCACCGGAGGCTCCTCGCCTCCCACGCCGCCGCCGGCCAGTTCCTCCCCTTCCGTCTCCCCGCCGCGCCATACCCCATCTTCCTCGCCATCGCATCCCCTCCTCCCCCACCCCCCACGCCCGAGGCCCTGGCCGGGTCAGGGTCAGTCCCCTGCTTCGACTTCCTCGTCAAGCGCCTCCCGGGAACCCCCTCCGCGCGCCTCTGTGACCTCCGCCCCGGCGACCTCGTCCATGTTGGCGCCAGCGTCGTCGGCAGCGGATTTGACGTCGCCAGGATAGCCGACGCCCGCGACGTTCTCGTCTTCGCCACCGGATCCGGGATCAGGTGCCTTTCTACCCCTGCCCTTTCCAACCGACTGTCCTTCATTTGTCAAACTCAAACCCGCATCAATTGCACTGCACCATGCACAGCTGCTCCATTTTAGGTCTCAAATAATCCTCAGTTTGATGCAATTCGGAATCGTGGCGAGAAAAAGGAACAATTACTAAATTGTGATAATCATATGGGGCGAGGGTGCCATCTGGATTATTTTTTTTTTTCAAAAAAAAAAAACTCTTTGAAGAGGGCAGGGAGCTCCTGCAATTCACTTAATAAGAAGAGAATTGATCTGGTTATAGGGAAACTGGGCCCAAAACCTTACAGCCGCATGGTTTGTTAGTAGGAAAACCCGGGAAAAAAAACTAGGCACAGCGCCCCAGACAACAACCCTCCTGCAAACACACAGTGTGTCATCGTTGCCGACCTTGTCAACAAGCAGCTCCGACCTACTAACAGCAACACTACAACAAGGCACATCTAGGAGGAGAAAGCAGCACGTCATCGTTGCCCAGCATCGCCGCACCCCACAGTGAGCACGTCACCATTGCAAGCTCAGACCAAGAGTGACTGCAATGCGCCGCAAAGCAAAAGCAGTGGCACTGAGGAAACATGGCCTTGTAGAAAGAACCCAGCCTGCAAACATATTGAGACGCCCCACGTGAACCAACTATTAAGAATGAAAACGGTCGAACTCGGTCGAAAAACTCCTCAACCATTTTCTACTTTTACATTTGAAATACGAAAGCGAAAGCGAAAGCGGACAAGCCGGACACGAAAACGAACACGAACTTACGGAATATCTAGAATTTCGGAAACGAACCAATTCGAGCGGAATTATGTCGAACACGGTCGGTATGCGAAAATTCAATACGAAATACCGACCCATAGTGCATAGCATTAAACAAGTGCACGACCAAATACATAACAAGTTCATAACTAACAAGTGCATAATCTAGTTCAAGTGCATAACATTAAACAAGTGCACGACCAAATACATAATAAGAGAGATGAGGCTGGGCGCCGTCTATGAGAGAGGGCAGCTAGCCACCAGTAGAAAGAACGCAGCTGCGTGGTGAGCAGCCTGTAATTGGGCTGTATGACCTGTGCAGTTGGCCAAATTCGGTTTAAACCAAATTTTGAATTCGGAATATTTCAAATTAAAAGTAGAAAAGTAGAAAACGGTCGAAAAATGTGTAAACCGTTTTCTACTTTTACATTTGAAATACGAAACATCTCAAATGCGAAAGTGAAAACGGTAAAGTCGGACAAGAAAATGTGGATTCGATCGGATTAAATATAGAAAACGATGCGGTTCGGTTCGGGATATTTCCGTTCCATTTTCATCCTTACCAACTATGCTGGATTATTATATGTATTTATCCATTATCTATTGTGCGAGCTATTTCTGGTATTGCTTCCAACTAATCTTGATCCATAAGTTCCTCCTAATCGCTTAACCAACCATTAGTACTCTTCGACTTGGGAATTGGGATGTAATCAGAACATGCACATGCTCAGTGGAAGATATAAGCGTGAAAAGGCATTAGCTGCAAGATATTTATTAGGTTTTCACTTCTTCAGATAAATAAGCCATTTAGTTGTTGCATGTCTGTTCTATACTGCCACATGCCATGCCAAGCAATTTACCAACAATGCCCTGTTCTTGATTGGATTGCGCTGTCCCTTCAATGAATGGGCAATACCATTCCCATGAATAGCTTTGTCAGATTTATTCAGCTGCAAACATCATTGCCTCTAGAAGCCTGCTCTCTAGATAAGCTATGTCTATGTTATGAAAGAACAGATGCACCCTTGTCCTAAGAAGTCTCTATTAGTGTATGGACTATTCAAATGCGTACAAGTGCACTTGTACAAGACATGCAGATGTACACACATTGGAATATATAATTATTCTCAGTTTCTCCTTCACATTTGTTCATTGCAGCCCAATACGGTCACTTATTGAGTCAGGTTTTGCTGAAAACAAAAGAACTGGTGTAAGCCTCTTTTATGGGGTTAGGAATCTTCAGAGGATGGCATATCAGGTAGGTAGGTTTATGTCAGCTTAGTTGTACAGTTTGTATATTGTCATATTCCGTATGTGATGGCTGCTGACTATGTGCTCTGACAGGAGAGGTTCGATGATTGGGAATCCAGAGGAGTTAAAATTGTTCCTGTCCTCTCAAGACCAGATGGTCAATGGACAGACGAGCGAGGTTATGTCCAGGTGCTGTTATCTTTTGACTCCCATGTTATTTATAGTTTGTTGTGTTTCTGTGTGATGTAGAGTTTGTTTTGCATTTTGTAGAATGTGTTCTCAAGGATGAAGAATATTGTAAACCCTTCATCAGTGGGAGCAATTTTGTGTGGGCATAAACAGATGACCGAGGTATGGTAATTTTGCTTGTTTTCCTCTCATTTTTATCTTAGACGCTCGCGGTAACTATTAGACACAAGTTGGTAGCACCTTCTACATTCAGCACTTTTTTTTGTACCGATGTGTCACAATGTTCTCTACTTCAACATGTTTTTTTGTCTTCTGAACATGGAAACATTAGAAATGTTCTTATAATAGGGGCCTGCATCAATATGTAATATAGGCTAATTATTGGAAGCTTAGAATTTTTCTCTACTACAAGGTTTTAGTCTGTTCATTGTTAGGCACATC